ATATGTGAAACATGTTGTAGAGACGTGTAGGTAAAACAGAGAAAACATTCTGTGTGTGTTCACCCATCTCACTGATCAGGTGTTGGTATCAGGTCCTCATTTTTCATTTTTCAAGGCTAGGAGAAGCCTGGCTTTTTAGTGCCTGCAGGAAAGCGCTGGAGCAAAAAGACATCATTGATTTTGATTTGGTTTTAGAAACTAGTCACATATGTTGCCAAGCCTGCTGGGTTTTTCTTCTGTTTTGAAGCATAAATAAAGAGGTGCATATGGAGGACACGCAAGACTAACATTGGTTGTTTTTGATGTTTCCAGCAAAGAGGACGACAAATCACAAACTTCCTTTCAAGATTCTAGTCAACCTTGTCTAATACAAGTGTTTGTTTTGAGTAATTCACATTATGTGTAGTGACACAAAGGAACAAGTCACTATTTTTTTTTATTAAGCTGGAATAAAATAATAGGTAGGGATAAATTCATAATTGGGCTTTATCTCTAAAGTGTCAGTTCTCATTTTTTGGTTTAATGGGAGTGAATTGAGCTAAGGTTTGGCCTAATGTTTTTGAAGGGGAATTCCAAGTTAGTCTGAGTGGGTTGATGTGAAATAGGCCGTTGTAGAGAAACTTACAGAGTCAGAACTGTGCACAGTGGTGGTCATAGGAACCACACGTTCAAAGAGTGTAATGCCTCCAACACCTTAATCACGGAAAGTTATTAACAGCTTCAACAAAGAAAGATATTAGATGAACTGGTTATGAATGAAGTGCCTGACGCCTGAGACATGGTTTTATGATAAGCCTTTGGCCTTAAACAGTTTTTAAAAGTTGTTCAAGGCGAAGAGGCCTTTACGTACCTGTATAGTACCTTTTTTTTCTAACAGTTCAGGGTATTGTAAGACCTTTTTTCAGATTTTCAGTACTTAGTAAATTTGATAGATATCAATCAACTCCTAGTTTCTATCGCCAGCACTGTAAAGAGCATCTGGTCAGTTTCTCTACAATGAACCACTCACGTCACACCATTTAGAATGACCTTGTTTACATCTTGATGATTTAATTATGCAGAAATTAAAAAAAAAAAATCATAGAATTCCACCTTAAACTCTATAATATTTCTCACACTAACCCATTGATTAGTCACCAAACATGCAAACACAAGCAGACTTTTGAGGTGAACTATCTTGGTGAACCGTCCTTTAAAGAAGGGCAGACAGAATTACAAAGGAGTCAGATAAGGATAAATATTGTTTTTGGGGCTTCTTCATGCATGCCTTGTCAATGGATTTGGCTAATCTTATCTGCTGAAGAAGGACAGTGGCAGATTACAGTGTAAGGTGACCCATCGCCTCAGCGGGAGACGTCAGTCGACACTTTCCCCTAACCTGTAATCAGTGAAGACCAGCTATCATGGTGCCACATGTTTTCCCCTCAGTGAGTGCTCAGATCTTCATCAGTCTCTTAGTCGAGAAGCGTTTTCCTGTTTGTGTGAAAGAGTGAGACCTTTCAGACTCACAGTCCTAAATGAACTTTTTGTCAGTGTGTGTTCATAAAAGACAGTCAGAATCCCTTGGTAAGTAAAAGTGTTGCCAGTGTTAGCTTACATTAGCTAAATTAGCTAACAAACATATAAGCAACAGCTTTGTTAGGTTAAGAGCCAGCATGCTTAAACGCACAAAATATAAATAGAATTGTTAAAGAACACACTTTTTAAACTAAGCGACTGCTTGTTAGCCTCAACTGTATTCTATTAGGTTTTTCTTTTTGTTGATGTGTTCTTTTACTACAGTAAAAGTGGTACAACACAGTGTTGTTGTACAGGTTTTACTTATTTTTTTATTTGTACTTCACAATCAGCATGACAGCTCTTAGCTTAGATTAGTTAGGCAGTCAGCTAATTTTTTGTTTATTCAGTAAAATTAATGTAGCTAACCTGAATACTTATGATTTACGTGGATTAGGTTCAGCTTTGATTACTGGTAAAAATGTACAGTTACCGTGAAGACTAGTTTACACCTCTGAAAATGTTTTTTTTTGAAATTGCAACTTTCATGAAAGCAGAACACTGTAAAGATAAGTTCAGTTTATTCAGACTGTTCAAAGAAATTTGTTGCTTAAAGAAAATGAGTTCTGAAACTCTTTAACCTTTAAGAAAGTGCAAGCAGCCTTATCACTCAAACTTTTTCATATTATGTTAAATATACTGTTGGTGTCACAACAAAACCTTGTATTTCCAGAATGCTTATTTTGCAGAAGAAGGAAAAATGTTCTAGCTCTGAGTTGTTCTGTTCATCTTGAAATTGTAACACATTTTAAAGTGCAGCTGGCATTTCCATTTTGTGAAGTCGGAAAAAAAAAAAAGACAAACAGAGATCGTCATGAAACATGAAGGTTTTTTCCGTCAACGGTGATATTCATATTTTTCACACTTAGCATGTTTGACACTGAATCATTTGGCACTGTACTCATTATGGTTAGTGTAGAATGCATACTGTTAGTCATCAAAGAACAGTATAAGCTTTCATCTAGACTGTACGTCTCCCTCTGTTTCTTTCTCTTTCTTTCTTTCCTGTGATGCCATTTCGTGCCCTAGGGGAGATCTGATAAGGCACACCAGCCCTTCTCCACAGTAGTGGCGGTCCGTTGAAAGATCAGGGTTCTGGGTCAGCCTGAGGCGAGGGAGGCACTCTTCAAAAGTGCTGTGCTTGCCAGATCAAACATGCGCATGCTTCCCCCTGAAGTACATCAGGAAAAAAAAACACATAATGAATGCCTGGCGGCCATATTGTTGTGAGATACAGTACAAGGACATACGTGTAGATTTGTCCGAGCGAGAGTGAGAAATAACCCCACCCAGTGTTAGTTAACAGCACCTGAATTCAAGCACACGCATGTGAGAGTATCTCACATATGTGCGGCTTTGACAGCCTGAAAGGCCCGAGAGGAGCCGTGCTCCAACTTGCCTCAGAAAACTGTTGAACTTTTGATCCCAGAAATATTGAGCTGCATTGAAAGGCCCGCCTGAGCGGTGGTGAGGGGAATCTAATTACCGCTCTCTCATGCTCTCCTTCTCTCCAGCACTGTTATTGACGTGGGCACCGCATAGCAAACACAACTACAGCTGGGCACATAGCTTCCACTCTGAAGTACTGAGTTTTGGCTTTAAACAAAGGAGCGCATTGAAATGCTAATGAACATCGATTCATCACTTTGTAGCGTTTCTGTATAGGTGGTTTGTATCTTTGTCTACCTTTCCCCGTCTGAGCTGAACTGTCTCAGGCTCAGTGAGCAGATGGTCTTCTTTCTTTCGTTTGTTCTCTTAACAGCTTTTTGTACTGCGAACACAACTTTCTGGCAGATTTGATGTCGTGCAGCAGTTTGACTTTTCCTAAAGTGAACCCAAAGTGGAAATTTCTGTTAAAACTTGAAAAATTAAGAAAGTGAATTATATAATATCAGGATTTACTGTTGCATCGTGACAAGACGTGAAGGCTCTTGGTGGATTGTGTGTGTGTGGAAAAATATGTTGTTTTACTGATTGAAGCTAACCTCCATTTACTTTAGATGAAACATATAAATATAATGCCTACTGGTGGTGTTTAAACTGCATTTTTGTAAAGGCGGAAAAACACAAGGCCATTTTCAGGGAGGGGCGATGGCTCAAATATCAGTGTTGCTGGAGTTTTTAAACACCTCAGTGTCACTGTTAGAATGAGAATAGTCCACCAACCAGAAATATCTAGCCAACAGCGTCCTGTGACCACTGATGAAGGACTAGAGCAGACATGTCAAATTGGGCCCTTCTGGGACAAAGTGCTGCAGAGATTAGCATTTACCCTCATCTAACACTCTGAATCCAGTTCATAAAGGCCTCGCTAATTAGTTAATAAGCTGAATCAGGTATGTTTAATGAGGCAGTGTGCTGAAGTATGCAGTGTTTTGACCCGCAAGGACTGAAGCCTGACACATGTGGACAAGACGATGACTATCAAAAACTGTGCAGCAACAGATGAGCACTTATCTCTGACTTTACATGTACAAGGTGGACCAATGAGGTCAGTGTGTCTATTAGAGTGGACAGTGAGTGGAGTCGGTGTTTTAAAAACTCCAGCAGCACTGCTGTAGCTGATCCACTTGTACTAGCCAACGCACACTAACACACCACCACCATGTCAGTGTCACTGCATTGCTGAGAATGATCCACCCAAATAATACCTGTTCTGTGGTTGTCCTGTGGGGATCCTGAACATGTAAAGAACAGGATTAAAGGGCGCTAACAGAGTATGCAGAGTAACAGATGGAGTAGAGTCTGTAGCTGTAAAACTACAATGTGTACCTGTACGTTAGGAGGGGTAGATACAAGGAGGTGTATTAATTAAGTGGCTAGTTGGTGTATATTGCTAAATAGCAGTTACAGTCTACGTTCTGAGAATTTTCAAGGAGTATCTTTCATGGTGTTTTGCCACCCGTAATCTTTTATGCAAGCATCTAGCCTGAAGAAACAGCGAGAGTTACTACTCTTCCTTGTTTAAAAAGGCTAGTAACAATTACCTAGTTACCCAGATTGGTTAGTCAGTTTGTGTTTCATTTTATACATTAATTGGAGTTTAACTAAAACTAGAACAGTTGACTTTTTATTGTTGCCCAACACCTTAAATAAAGATTTAAATGCCGCCAATGTAATGATAGTTGCTGCATTGGTGTTGTAACTCTTTTCTATTGAATAAAATATATTTTATATTCTCTTAGTGTTTGATTAGTCTGAATCTGTATCACTCCTGCTTCTGCTTCTTCCCAGTACATTAAAAAGAACAGCTAGAATCAAATTCCCACTTATGTATTGTGATGCTTACTGCGGATGAGGCATTGATTCCCACTCTTGTTAAGAATTATTTTCTTATTATTCCTCTTTTTCCTCTACCGCTTAGCAGATGTAGTAAGGCAGTAGCATCCCTTCATCCAAATTTGGCACACAGATTCACGCATTATTCTGCTTCTTCTTTTCAGACAGAGATGAGGACCAAAGTTCTGGAGGCCAAACACCAAGAGGAGAAGCTGAAGCTACAGCAGAAACATGATGCCGACGTTCAGAAGGTAGTTTGCATTGAAACGCTTACCCCCTCTTCCTTTCCTCTTGCCTGAGCATTTTGTAGACCCCAAACTGCGACAGGAGAATGTGACAGTTCCTAGCATTTCCTGTCCTCACCGTGAGTGTCATTAATGCATGTCAGAAATGCACCTTAATTATACGCTGATCGCAACCAGTCCATGTCCAATCCAATTTGCATAACATGCCTGAGCTCTCATAATGACTTCACATGCTGAATGAAAGCATGAGATTTCCTTTTTTATCCCCATATCCATATGAAGGTGGGACCAAGCGAATTTTAATTAGCCTCTTTATGAATAATACATGAGCCTTAGTGGTTGTTGTCAGTGTAGGTGAGCAGAGAGACAGACATGTGTGTAATACATGCCATGGATCAATACACCACATACCTAACATGTTTTTCACTGGCCTTGCTCTGTAAGCACCACAGGCATTTTGCACAGTTAGTTGCAGTTCATGACGACACTATTTGTGTCATTCTCCCTAGAAAGTGCTTGTTAATTCAGAGAGCTGGTTAAAGTCACGGGGTTCCAGATTTTCTCCCCAATGTAGTCATATCCTTTTCCACCCACTACTTAGGCCTCCCCTAATCACACCATACAACCATCGCCAGGAGAGTGAACGCAAACACAAGCTTCCTCACGTGAAGCAAGCCACCACTTATTTTCAAACTGCTGCTAATATCATTAGATCATAAGTTTTCAGGTTATTAACATATTAAGCTCAAACATATGCACACTCTGACCAGATGTGAGTTTGAATGTGCAGATACATGAAAGATGAGATGACTGAATAATGGCAGTGTAATTTGTGTATGATCATTTTATATTTATCCAATACTGATTTTGAAACCTTGACTATTGCTTGATACTACTAACACAAAAATGTTTTCTTTAAAAGCTCCAGTATCCGGCCTGCATTTTCTGTTGATATCGGCCAAATACCAATCTGTTCATTTCTTGACTATATATAACTTTGAATAGTAAGGGCCACGAGTTGCAGCACAAGTGCCTATAGTGATTTTGTAGACCATACGTCAGCAAATGTTTGTCGGTTTCAAAGTCATTTCGCTTGTAGGCAGAGAGACTGAACCAGAGGTAGCCAGGCGTCTCTTCATATCATAGATGCCCTAAAAGCTTGAAATGGCAGTCCCTAAAAGCAGCACTTCTCCCAGCCAGGGCTCGCACATCCGACCCTCCTCTCTGGACTCTCGTCCCCTTTCTCTCTGTGTTATGACTTTCCTCTGTGTGACTGAAATGCACTCTTTAAGAAGGCGATGGGAAAATTGTGTGTGTCCCTAAATGTTCCATGAACTTCTCTTTACCCTCCTACTCCCCCTGTCCCCCCAGAGGCTTTCATCTCTGGCGGTCGGGCCGACTGGCAGGATGACGAGCTTAGCAACAGAGTGCACTTCTGATGGACAAAAAGCAGGACAAATAATCCTCTGATGGGCACCGTGACTTTTTTCCCAGAGGGAGAAAATAATAATAACTTTTAGGGGGGCTTTTAATCAGAAGTCACCAGTGTTTCAAGGGCAGACTGGCTCTCTGAAATGTCCCCCTCCCCCACACTCTTACCCACACTCTCCTCAGCAAACACCCTCTTTTATTAGGATACATGAGAGGGAAAGAGGCTATGAAGCCTGGACCCCAGAAAGCACATCTCAAATTAGGGGCTCCATTGCAGCTTCCTCTTATTACTGGCAAAGCCCTTTGAAGACTATTTTGGTCAGTTTCTCCCTCCCCCCATGGGCTTTGTGTAGGAACCTCAATAGCTCTCCATGGATACTGAGCATTAATTAAACTCAGTGTTGCTTGTATTAAGATTGTAATTGATAAAGATGTTGTCCATGCTCGCGTGTGGTTTCCGTATTAATGAGCTGCTTTGTGTGGATGAGAGAGGCTCAGAGATGCTTTAGATCCGCATGTGCATCTCCTTCATCAAAGCCTGCTTGGGAAGGATGTCAATATTTGCTCAGGTGCATCTTTGCTTTGCTGCAAGGAATTCATAAACACAGCAAAACACCACACAAAACACACAGATGCCGTCCATCTGAAAGTTCCATCCAGTCCTGGTGAGACCCGGCCAGCGGGTGTCCTCTTGTCCGCCCGCCTCCTTCACCCCGTGTCCCGCCGGGCGTTGATCTCGCCGGCTCCTCCACGGTGAGGCATAGAATTAAGGTTGCAGCGCCACCAACCAGTCCAGCTGAGACGCTGTACGCCTGCCTTTGAACTCCTACTCAGATCTCTCTGCGCAACCTGCGGAGAGTCAGCCCTTCAAAAGAACCCGAACAAACACTGCCGCCTCTGATAAAACACATTTCTGCGATGCTAACCCTGCCCCCCAGCTTCAGGCAGCGCAAGCATCTTATCTCACACATCCCAACTCACACTGACCACGCACGTAAGCAGCTAGGCCTGCCAGCATGGAGCAAGCCCCAGGCTGATCTGGTGTTTGTTTGGAGCGAGCTAAATAAGGGCCATGCTAAACTCCCTCCTCCACGAAGGAGCTCTGAATTCCTGCGTCTCATCAAAGACCCGCTCTCCATCTGTGAAACAATAACAGCAGCTCTGCTGTGCGTCACACAATGGGCAGATTGTTGAGGACTTGCAGAACCGGTCCTATGGGGACCTGGGCGGCATTAAGAGGAGCCCACGCTAGAGGTCTCCAAGAGTTGAGGGACAGGGCCAAGAGTCAAGCCACCTGTTCTAGTTCACATTGCCACCAGCAGCCTTCATTCATAGCAGGACTCGGTTGAATCAGTAGAGAATCATTGTAAATTCTGATGGTGAGCAGTGATAAACTTACTTTTCAACTGCCTAAATGAGATTTCAGTTTGATTGGTGTTACCAAAAAAAATCAGTAATAGGAGTGGGCTGCCTCGGCACTTTCATTTAGGCTTAGATCAAAAGCATAACAATAACAAAACAAAGCATACGACTATACTGTACAAACAACCTTATCTGTAATCCTCCCAACGGTCTGAAGAAAAAATGTTCTAATGTCCATGTTTCAAACTTCCTGCCCAGCACAGTTAGCTAATGCTTTCTGCAAGTCAGTCAAGTGAAGCCGCCCACTGAGTCATTTTATCCCTCTCATAACAAGGGGTGGCACAAAGTAGATATTTTTTTTCCAGACTTGTTGTCATTCTTGTTAAACTGATAAAGCCGTGCTGCAGCCTTCCACTCATTGAATGGCTTCACAAAACATAAACAGGGCATAGAAATTATTAAAAACAAAAAGGACAACACATAGCTACAGTACCAGTGGCCTTCAGGCTACTAAGCTTTAGCTGTTTTATTATTTTAGCCTGTAAGCGAGATAGCAAAAACTACCACTGTTGTGCCTAAAACTAGCAAACCACACCAAGAACAAAATGACCTTCTATCAAAGTTTCTGACTAAAAAGCATGTTTATTTTCTCCAGTTAAAGCAGCCATGGTAGGTAATGTTGTGTTACCACAACGTCCGGTGTTAAAACTAGTTACTGAAGAAGGGTGACGTGGATAATAATGATTAAAGTCAGCATAAAGAAGCAGTTTGGTTCCTGTAACTGTGCTCAGATGGAGAGCTGGTGGTGTGGGAAAATGGCTTTTTATTTATTTATTTATTTTTCTTATTTTTTCATATTTAATGCTTTCTGCTTGGCACCCCCTGCCCCAAGGACCCCACAGAAGTATCATTAAATGGCAAATAGCTGGGGGGTGTGATCGGACAAGGTGTGCTGCACACAATATTACATGCCTGGTCAGTGCCATGTCTGGGATGTTTAGTCCGCATTGAATATTATGCTAAACTTGTTTTGGTGTTCGTTTACACTAATTCCTTCTTGTCATGGCCTTCTGTCTTTCGTCTCTGTTTTGTCTGTTTCTAATTGTCTTGTTGTGTAATTGGAGTATTGCTACCCTGGCTGTAGGAGGACTTGTAAGACTTGGCCTTAAACCGTGAAATGAAAAGGTCATAGAATTTAACCAGACAACTGCTGTTGTGCCTCTGAGGATTCTAAGTCTCTGCTTTAACCATCACTGACGGGCTAAAGGCTCAGCCTTGAGTGACATAATAATTATAGTAATCTCTCATTTACAGTTCATACCTATTGAATTAGAATAAACTTTGGAGCACCATATTTTGTCTGTTTTAGGGTACTTCCAGTTCTGTCTCTCATTTTCTCCACCATTAAACAAATTTGTCAAATTCCTCTTGGCTTTATCTGTCTCGTGTCAGGAGAGGGTCATGGATTTGGATGGTGCAGTGGCCCTTGCCCAAAGAGAATAATGTGAGAATCGGAAGGGTTCGTCATCCTCTGCTTTTCAGCTTACTCAGTCGTTACAGATAATGCACTTACAGAAAAGCCTGTGGCAGGGTGAAGGGGCCAAAAAGCAGGATCTTTCTCTTCCCCCGTCCCCATCACACACAAACACAGACGCACACCAGCCTTTTGACTGCTTGCTTCAAAGCTGCAAATTCCACCGCTCTTTGGAGAAGGAGGCTCCTTTTCGGTTATCGTCCCGAATAAGACCGTTAGCCCCTGTAATCTGCAGCCAGCGGGTCGCACACGAGTCAAGCCCTGCTTCCCACACAACCGTGTTTAGGACACTAGATTAGGCTGGAAGGCCTGGAAAATTCTGTCGTAGACATGCACTCAAATGTCATGAAGGCCTCAGTTTGGGTATTGTGGCCAAGTTTTACAAGTTCTCTCACAGCTGGCCTACCACGACCCCAGTAATAAGAACAACAAAGCAAATGAGAGCCACACTAAACAGAAAGCAGATTCAGAAGGGCATGACTAGGAGTGAGCAGGCTTTTGAAGCAGACATTTAAGAAACTGCCTTTTCTCAAGATTTTAGACCGAAAGAATGGAGAGATAGAGGAGCTGAAGAGCGTGCACCGGGCCAAGCAGAAAGAAGCTGAGGAAGCAGTGAGAACATTGGAGAAAAAAGGTGAGGTGTTCCCTTCGACACACAGTCCAACTGTGCTTGTATCTTTCTCCATGACAGTAAAGTAAAACATTAATTCGGCACAGCAGCACTAAATCACTTGTCCTGACATTCAGTAATGGTGTAGGTTTGATGTTTTCGGCGACAGTCTAGTCAGTGAACATATATTGCCTTCATCCATGTACACAGTTATACATCAAGGTAATCTTGCCAGTCATTTTGTTTGCTGGTAATCTTGTGCAGCACAAGGCATGATTGAAAATATTGGTACTGCTGGAACATGCAATTATGCAAACAAGAAACTGTTCCTAATGGAAAAATCAGTCCCCCGTAGGTCGATTTTGACGCAGTCCTTAGTGTTTCACCCAGTTTGTAGTTGTAATTGCTCTTTGCTGATGCTGCAATTTATGGAAACAACCATAGTGTAAGAATAAATATACAGTATATGAGACATTGTCACTGTCCTAAAAAGACGTGTATTTTATTTTTGATGATTTTTAATTATATGCTTTATTTGAACACAGCCACCTTTACATTGTGTGAAAATTTTCTTAAAGAATGGACCAATAAAAATGCTCCAAAATCACTTGGAATAAAACCTGTTTACTTTAACTTACTTTAAAAGTGAAGAATGTTTTTGCCATCTCCTGTAAAGGTGGGGATACTCGTTTTTCTGTGGACATATAATATAATTATATAATAATTAAAGTTGTTTTTCCCCTGATATCTGTTAAGCTAGAAAAAACAAAATAGTGCTACATTAAAAAATACTATGGAAAAACTATGAATCCATTTATTTTATTCAATGTTTTGCATATTTTGCTGCACTGAATATGATTAAACAAGACTAATCAAACAAAAAAAAGTGTTTTTTTGCAAGCACTTACGAGATCCCCCAAATGCCCAGAAAAGTGTATTTTGACATGATCACAATAATGATAAATATTGCCCTGCTCTAATAATGATAATAAGAAGTAGAAAAAGAGTAATTTAATTTGCCTAAAAAGGTTTGGGTTCTGTTTTATTTGGATAGCCCCCCGTAAATTATCTACAGATTGGTCCAATTGTTAACCAAGTGTTGAAACTCAGTTGAGGCTCAACAGTGTTAGGGTCAGGAATAATTGGTGGAGGTTATGGTTAGGATTAGTGAAAATTAAGCTGAATTTAATAAATAATTATTTGAATGTAGGATGAATGCAAGGAAAGCATCTACAAAGTATCTACATTTGGCTAACCAAATGAAGTGTGAAATTGGTTGCATGTATCCTTGTTTGTATGTGTAAAGGGACAGTATAAAATCTGTTTGGGACAGTAAACCTTCAGTCTGCTTGCCTAATGTTGAACACTGAGTGTGTTTACATGCACTTAATAATCCGGTAACTGCAGAAAATCAGATTTTGTCAGTAATATGATCACAGGTTTATATGCTCTTGAGTAATCAGATCGTCTAGAAGAATATTTTACAAAGAATATTTTAAATCCTTCATTTCATCAAGCATGCAGTTGGTTTCAGCGTTGCTCCAAAAGTGTTGCTGCCATCTCAAGGGTGCTGTTTTAAACTCTGCTTGCTTATTTCCGGGGGCGTGGTCTGTTTTCGCACAAACGCAGACTGAAAAATCCGAAAGAAATCAGAGTAAGAGTTTACATCCACTGAGAAAGCTGATTACTAAGCTAAAATCCAGCTCTCTTTTTTGGATTACTTAATCAGATTTCTAGACCTTATTCCGACCTAAGAAATTGGAGTATGTTGTTATGCTCCTGTAGTTTTCAGTATTGAGAAATCTACTACTTGTCTGCCTTTTTTTAAAACTGGGCTTTAATGTCGTCCTGTGGGGATGATACATCTTATTTTAGAAAATGGAAAACTTACAGTGTAGTTACTCATGTCTTTATACTGTGTGTTCTAGTGGTGAGGGAAAACAGCATATTGACAATCTCTTCTCTTGGCTACATCCATGCTGAAAGCAAGAAGTGCTCTTAGGTTTTTGCCACAGCATGTGTTGCTGTGGCTACAACGTGGGCTAATGCTTCAACACAGAATACAGCAGTAAATGGCTTACTGCCAAAAAGAGAGAACACTGTTCTCCCACTAATCACATAATCATAGTTAGCTAGTTATAGAGATGGATCACTTCAAAGATGAAACCATTGGGACTAAATTGGCTAAATTGGCTAGCTCCTGACTAATACTTATTCAAGTGATTATTCAGTGTTATGTGTTTGTGAAGTTTGTCACACAATGGAAACCAAATTTGGAAACATCAGTAACTAGCAATTAGCAGGATAGCTTACAAAATATCAGGGAAAATAGGGTCAAGGAATCGAGGTGTATTATTTAGCAGTAAAATGTGTAAGAAAATTTTGTTTTTGATGGCTTATTGTTTGTTAGCTAGTTTTTTTTTATGTCTGATGGGCAGTGTTCCACTTAGATTGCATTCTGTTGATCTATGTGTTCTGAATAAACATGAACTACATGAAGGAACGTGACTACTGTTGAGTTTCATCTTTTTCTAAAAATGCATTTACCATGTAACCATATAATGTTATAACCATATTATGTAGCCCTAAGAGGCTTTAAAGACTTTGGATATCTGGTTCCTGTAACCACCATTTCTGATGCTGTTTTCTGTGCATCCACACTGGCAGATTTTAGTAGGCAATATCGTAATATAAAATATATTTTTTTTTCTCTTTAGTGGGCCAAGCTGACATTTGAAAATGTACTTGCTTATTTAAATAACATGAATCAAAAAAAGTGCTATATCGCAACTGGCTGTTTAGCAAAGTAACATTTTGCAGCACTTAAGTGCACTTAACTGCCTCATGTTGTTTACATCTTAAAACTGCAACACAGATCAACCAAAATCAAAACGATAAACTGGCTGATTGCCAATTGCACGTTTTTAGTAAACATCATACAGTTCAGATCTTGGCCAATTCAAATCATGCTGCTCTATATATATCACAGTAACAATTAACTAATAGTATATATTGCACAGCCCTAGAACACAGCTGGAGCTGACCAGCTTTGATGGAGGGCAGGACTAAAACACAACTTCACTACATTTTGGAAAAAAGAAAAAAATCAAGGTGACAGTGAGTTTTTGTGCATTAGGAATTAGCATTTGGCGCATACAGCATTTTGGTATAGATATAGCAGAAGCGAGTGCACATACTGCCTCTTGTTATTTACATCATAAAATGGGAAAATGTATTGGCCAAAGTTGTAATTAGCTGATTGCCAGTTGCGGGTTTGGAGCAAAAATCTGCCAGTTCCAGTCGTGCATACCTACAGTGAACCAAAGATAACATCAGCTAGCTAGATGATCTAACGGTGAGATGAAACAAGTTAACATAATTTTATTACCTTATTAGACTCCATTTATTATTAGCAAGTGTTTGTGTTTCTAGATGAAGTATTACACACACTGTGTTTGTTTTCTCTTATATAAACAAAATCTGTGATCTAGTGGTTTGTACCCAGCCTTTTACGGTTTACAGGAAATACATCTGTCTCTACAAAAGTCCCTTGTGTTTGAGAACAGAGTAAAATGTCTTGTATTATTTATGGCGCAGTGTACATGCCTTGTCAATGCTGTTCCATTAATTCAAAGCAATGCACCGAAGACCAATGATACCAAACATGTTTTTTTATTTGATTTGTTTTTGCTTAGCGAAGATTGTCTCCACCATTGTCGTTTTTATTACTTTCAGTCTATTTTGAATCACACAATTATGTGTGTGTGTGTGTGTGTGTGTGTGTGTGTTGGGTGTGGGTGTGAGTGTGAATGAGTGAGAGTAGACATAGGGATGCCCTGCGGCCAGGTCTAGTGTTGATATAGCGCTCTCTTTCTTTCTCTCTCACTCTCTCACTCTCTTCCCCCTGCAGTTCAAAGCTTGCTGCGTGAGTCCCAGGTCATCCGCCAGAGCAAAGAGAAGCAGATCGCCGAGCTGAAGAAAATGTCGGATCAAAGTGCTGACTCCCTCAAAAACGAATGGGAGAAGAAGGTACGGACAGCCTGAACGCCTTCGATTTCTACTGGCTAGCCAAAGCCTGTGGAGAAGAGCTTTTGAACGCAGTGCACCCAGAGACTTTACACAGGCCTAGCACTCACTTTGAGTTTGAGGGAGAAGAAAAGCAGTCCTTTCCGGGTTCTTGGAGAAAAAAAAAAAGAAAGCATCACATACGTTTTCCAGCTTCTCCTCAGTTGCTTTGCCTTTGTGCACAAGTTTGCAATTGAAGTCTTTTTTTGCTTTGGGCCCCTTAAAGCATTCTCGATGTTATTTCCACATATCAAGATCAGCTATTCCCTCACAGGCAAACTATAGGCCCCCTGCTGTAGGATTTGGACTCCTGATGGCCCTTAGCCAGCAGTATAAAACAATCTGAGGAAGAAAGTTCAATGAATATATTTGTATCGGGTAGGAAGAAGGTGTGGTTTTGTGTGCAGTTACTGGGATAGTGGCAGAGGGCTGTTGTAGTGGCACATTATCCACACTGTGATGTTTAGTTGCCTTACCAACATGGGGGGAGGTTTATGTAAATTAGAAGCACATTTTGCCAGGTGGTGGTAAATAGTTGCGCTGTGAGCATTTTGGTGCTATGTGTCACGCCCATAGTTAAACTATATGCTGAAATCAGTGTTGAGAAGAATTTAATATTCAAATGCACATTGAGCAGGATGCAATTACAGTGACTGTGCTTTTTTAGGCACTATTAGGCTTATTATCTCTAACATTTCACTGGGACTCAGGAATGGCCCACAATTTTGCTAACGCTTTTACTCTGGGCAGCTAAATATGCTTCCACTTTAGCCACATGCTTTGAAAACAGCCAACATTTGGTGAGGGAAGCAATTTCCTGGGCTGTAAAGAAAGAATACAACTACAAATACACCAATAAATCAAAAGATTATGACCCTTCACAGATGATACAAATAACATTGATTATCTTGTAACAGCACTTCAAGCACTTCAAGGTCTGGGATACATTAGACGGTATCAAACAGTTGGTTTTTTAGTTGACGTGTTGGGTGCAGGACAAATGGGCAGGCATGAAGACCTGAGCGACTTTGGCAAGGGCCACATAGTTATAGATAGTCGACTGGATCGGAGCATCTCTGAAACAAAAAGGCTTGTGGGCTGCTCTTAGTCAGCAGTGGTCCAGTGAGGGACAAACCACAAACAAACGGCAACAAGGTACAAAGATATCCTGTCTGGTCCAAACCAACAGAAGGATTACTGTGGCGTGAGTCAGAACTTTTGGAGATGCTTACGGGAGGAATGTTTCGCAGCACACAGGGCATCACCCTGCTGGACCTTGGAACGATAGGAAGGAGGTCACCTGGTACGATTAGTCAGTTGTTTTGTACATCATGTGGACGGTCAGATACATGTGGCACTGGGGTGCGCTGTGGGAAGAAGATAAGCCGGTGGAGGGAGTGATGCTCTGGGCAATGTTCTGCTGGGAAACCCTGGGCCTGAGCATCCTTACAGACATCAGTCTGATACGCGCCCTGCACAAACATCATTGTGGACCAGGTACACCCTTCATGGCAATGGTATTCCCTGATGGCAGTGGCCACTTTCAGCAGGACCCTGCCTTATTGCACACAATGATCAGTTTGAGGAACATAACAAATAGTTCAAGATGTTGCCCTGGCCTCCAAATTCCCCAGATCTCTGTCTGATCAACCATCTATGGAACATGCTGGAGGTCCCATCCGCAGTGAATTAAAGAAACTGCTGCTAACATCTTAGTGCCAGATACTACATGCAGCATGCATCCAACAGTATATTAGGCTGGTGGTTGTAATGTTTTTGTTCATCTGTGTACATTGGCTTTTGTAATATTTTTCATAAACTGAACAAAGAATCTACTTCAGTTCTAGAAACACAAAATATTTAATTTGAAATATGTTTGCAATTAAATTTTATGTAATTTTTTTATTTATAAAAATGATTTGTGGCTCACCTAAAATTCTGAGTTAATTGAACATGTAGTAAAAATAGTAGGTTAACTGAACAACAATCTTTGTCTTAAATGTTTTTGGAATTAGAAGAACATTTGACTCAACCAAGCAGTTCACCTTAATTTTAATTTTTTATAGTGTAGCTGATATAGCTGTGCAGATAAAAAACGATAACCTACCTTTGTTTTATATGCCACAAACACTGCACTATGCAGCTCAGTCAGTTTTGACAGTGATATGCTCAACACCAGTGTAGCCCTATTGACCAGCATGTTTTTCTTCATTGGCAGCTGCATGCAGCAGTGACCCAGATGGAGCAAGAGAAGTTTGAGCTGCAGAAAAAGCACACAGACAACATACAAGAGCTGTTGGAGGACACCAATCAGCGGCTTGCCAAGATGGAGGCCGAGTACAGCACCCAGGCACAGGCCACCGTGAGTGAGAACTGATGTTGCCCAAAGCACTGTACAGACCTATTACAGTACAGAAGATCGTCTGTAGCAGGGTTGTTTTTCTAGCACTGGTACATGTCAAAATGATTTTGCTTCGTGCTCATGGCTCATGCTTCTCTTCCTTTCTTGTGACCTTGTAAATGTCTCTGAGGTGCTCACAAGTCTCTTAATGTGGCTAGAACACAGACTGTGTTGTGGTCTTTACTAAGACTGCATGATATGGACAGAATACGAGTATTGTTATCATATTGCTACAAATTGAGATTCTGATTGAGATTCTGCAGACAGTTTTTTACTTTTGACTACAGTTTTAGAGATATTAGTATTTCACAATGTCGAGTTTCTGTTGTGGATGCAGTGTACGTTCTCTCTCATACTCGTGCGTGATGGTCATGCTGCCCACTGAGCTCTGTTTTAGGTATCATACAGGAAACTGTCTTTTTGGATGACTTTAAAGTGAAGTGAATTCATAGGGTTTTTTTTGTTTTTGGTCGTTCGCAACTCTGCACTGCAGTCTCCAATGCCTGTATTTCCCTCTTAGTCACATGATGTAAATGGGAAACGCAAACATCATGAAGCCAAAAAATCGATAACATGGTTCACTGCTACCAGTTTTTTTTTTTTTATCATCAACATTATTGATAATGTCAGTTGTTACAACCCTAGTTCTGATACACCTTGCAGTATACTGAAACTGCATTATGGAAGCAGTAATGGGATATGATGGAAGTTTAGCTTGCATTATTTTGACAAAAATAGTCAACTTACAATTTTCATTAATGCTCTGGTTTATCACAACAGCTCAGAAAAACTCTGGGACTGTGGGAATGTTCAGAGCGCACAGTTAAACAGTGTGATTGATTAGAGGGCTTGTTTTCTTATTGCAGAGTAAGAGGCGACTGGTATGCATAATACTTAAGGATGCACAGTGATACAAAAAAATCATATGAGTATCGTCAGATATTTGCATTAAAAAATAAATATCAGCAACGGGCAGATGTTTAGATGTGACTAATGCTGATGACATGCAGTTATGCATTTCCATTCCTTCTGAAAATCTGTCGACAGGCTTACCAGCAGTGTTTCAGATATTTCTCAGGGGATGTCAGGGTTAGGCTCTTTTGCTTCATATACCAAACCTAAAGTTCAAAACCTGGGCGTAATCTTAGACTTTGAGCTCTATTCTATCATTGGACAAATATAAAAATGCAGCAGCACAGATCCTAACAAAGACATAAAAGAGAACTCATCACCCCTGTTTTTAAAGAACTACACTAGCTGCCTATATCTTTAAGGATATATTTAAAAGCTCTTTTATTAGTTTTCAAAGCTCTAAATGGCCTTTAAGCACCTGCATACCTCTGTCTGTTTAGATGATCTGCAGATGTTGACCTTCTGTAAAATACAGAAAACGTGAGGAGGCCTCTTTGTTATCAAGCTTTCAAACTGTGGAAATCAGTTCCGGCTTGTTTTTCAGTATTTAATTTATGTATTAAATTTAAAGTACTTTAAGTAAAATATTATCTACTTTTTTGTATTTTTCTATATCAAATCCATGTCAAATTAGTATTTATAATCTATTTTAACTATTTTTTTCGCTTATATTGCTGCTTCTGTATCTACAGTAGAATAAAAAAAACACTTTGAGATGCCATTGGTTATTATTTCAAATCATTGTTGTTTATATTATTATTATTTCAAGCAATCAAGTTATTATAAGTTATTATTTCAATTCTATATTAGTTGATAGAGAATAGACAGGCAATGCTGTGCTAATGTGCCATAATATCTGTATTTTATTTATTTTACTCCATTTTAACCCTCTACAAATAATTGATATGTTTCTTTATAGTAAAAATTTCTACCTTTTTAAATTCTTATGTCTGCATTATATCAGCTTATATCAGCAGATATGTAATGAAAAATATTTGATATCATCTGCTTGTAGTTCCAATGTTGGAGTGTCCCTGCTAATTATGCTATGATGTTTTGCTGTAGGTGTAATAACAACGTTCAAATGCAGCTCACCTGCCTCACATAACTAACGTTATAAGATTGTACACAGATCGGCCAAAATCAAAATAAAAAATTTGCCAATTGCTAATTGGCCGGTTTCAGTCGTGCCCCGTGAAATATCAGGATAATGGTTTACAAATCGTATCTTGTGCAGCCTTAGTATTTAGCTGGAGTTGCCCAGCTTTGGTGGAAGGCAGGACTAAAACATAGCTTCACTGTATTTTGGACACAGACTGTGATGTCATCAGCTTGGGAAGAAAAAGAAAGGTGACACTAATGAGTTTTTGCCGATTAGAAATTAGCATTCGGCGGTTGCTGCGCAGGTAAGGGTGCAGGTGGAGGTGGGCCGGCCGCGGTCTGTCAGCAAGGCCGAATTTTAAGAGGCTTCAAAAGCACTTGGAGCCCTGCAGAGTAAAGGCCCTTCTTTAATAATTAAACGCAGTGCATTTTTAGGTAGGGCTTTGGATGAAAGGGCCTTCTGTCATTGGAAATTATGTTCTCCCATTCTGTTGGTTTAGGCTGACCTTCACGAGCATCTCCACCCCACCAAAACCCACACACTCTGACACCTATACACATGCCACATGCACACACACCTCTTTGTCTTGCTCTGCCCATGCTCGGCTGTTGTCAGTATGTCAGGCGAGGTGAGCGAGTGTGTGCCGTGCCCTGTTTCTGTTTGATGTCTCAATACTACAGCCTTTGAAAGCCTTTGTTTGCCTTGCCTTCTTTCATCATTCCTTTTTCTGCCATGTTCTGGCACTATCCCCATTTTGTACAAAAAAAGGCAAGTCTTCAAAGCTACGTGCTGGACGCGATGTTGCGTTAGCCATATTTCATATTTTGTCCTCACAAGCAATTTATATAACCCACATATTGGTTGCTTAATAATGTCAGCCTGTGCTGACATCAATCAATATAAGTAAAATTATGCCTATAAGGCACTGATAATACATACCTTAGTCTGATATTGCAATAAACATCTGACATGAAGAAAATTGTTTTGAGGATCTAAAAGTTTTGTTGCCAGACATTCATTGGCTAAAGTGACATTCGTCATCTGTTTACGTTTGTCATGGCTGTGATACATCTCAACACAAAATACCATTATGGTTAAAATAACAACAATAAAAGTGTACGGAGCTGCAGCGTTTAGCATGAGAATAACTTAATAGAGAAAAAAACTTCACATGCAAGAAAAAAAAACAAAAACCAAGACCTTAATGAATTACGACAAGCTTTTCTTCCCAATACAATACAGATTTTATTTAAGATTTTGTGAGTTTTTTAGTATAAGAAATGTAATAGTTGAAAAATAGCAAATCAAATCAGTTCAGCCCTAGTAGAGAGTTGGCTTTCCCTTTTTTTTCTATCTGCAGTTCTTTTTTTATAAGACATGCCAATTTTGGACATCAACGAAAGAATCCACTCACAGAAGACTCATGATAAGACATATTGTCTTCACAGCCAAGGCTATATGGGGATCGATGAGTTTATATGTCACGCCAGACAGCAGTATTTGTGTTGACAGTTTAAGAAAGGTGAGAACTGAACAGGCCCAGCCCACCAGTAATAAACATCTCCCTCATCACCCTTTGCTCGTGAAAGTGATCAAGCAATGTAGTCATTTAATAAAGTTGCTTATCAGGTCAGGTCCAGATTCCCTTGAAGTGAAATTCTGCCATAAAGTTTTTTGTTTTTTTTTGCCTTTCATTGGTGGCCTGAGAAAATGGCTATACGCGTTCCAAGGTACAGAACGTTTACTTTCTGGTTTTGGCATGAAAGGACCAAGTGCCAGTGTTTCATTCTCTCCAGATTATACATAGAAAAGGTTGAAGCAGTTCAAAACAGGAGTATGTAATTTATAGAGGATCTGTTAACTTGTTTTCACTTAGAAAATCAACAAAATGTCATTTTACCAGGGTCACCCAAACTATTGCATATGACTGTACATGCACACGAAACAAAAAGATTATACTGATGCTGTACATATATTCATATAGGGATGTGCTGGACAGATGCAATTGCTAAAGTAGGTATCCTGATAACTAGAAAGACTGACTTTGCATGCTCATCAGAAGTTTATGCTTAGCAGATGGTTATCTAGTAAATTGGCTCGCTTTACAGGGGCATGTTTCCTGTGTAACGACGGAGATTAGTATTGAACTAGCATGGTACAGTGCATCGTTAAATTAACTAACATCTGAACTACGACAATTTCCCAAACTGTTTTACCTTATTTGTACAACATTCATATGAACAGTGTTGGTTTGAACCACCGTAGTCCGAACTGCAGTGTTTCCAGATGTTCGGTCTGACGTTCACCACGGGAAACTTGGAAAAACGCAGTAATATTATGCCAAATATGACAGTTGTGACCAGTATTACATTATTCATTTATCATTTAGGCTATTCATATTGTAATCATATACCACCGCCACCAACAACAACGATAGTATTGATAGAATGAACTATTAAAATGCAATAAATAAAGAAATAAAAAAATTGATTTTGTAAAAATAAAATAGTAATTAAAACGTAACCTTATAATAATAGGCAGTGCTTCTTGTAGAAGGAAAAAATAGAAGAACTATTATCTAGACCAGTGCTTTTATAGGCTTCATCTGAAAATATGTTAAAATGAAGAAGTAAATAAATAACACATTATTAACACCATCAACAGTTATTAATAATCGTCTTTTGAACAGTGTGTGTTAGTGGCTCAGATGAATAGACTCACTATGGAAGACCCAATTTCTTGAATGCACAGACCTGGGGTTGTAGCCGGAGCAGTGATGCGTTCTTTTTATCTTTTTCATTATGCAATGAATGAATGTAAAGCAGTGATTAGTAAATTTTCTTTGACATCTTTTAATATTTTTTGATGTTTTACATAATGGCTCTTTCAAAATTTAATCCCGGCAACATGTTCCAAGAAAGTTGGCACAGGAGCATGTTTACCACTG